GTTGATGGATGTAACACCTGCCAACAAACTCAAGTTCATAGAAATAAACCCCACGCACTGCTACACCCTCATGAGATACCTTCTCAACCATGGGAGCATATTTCTATTGATATCATTGGACCGTTACCTGAGTCCTCAGGATACAATGCAATATTGGTCATCGTTGACCGATTTTCCAAGATGATTCTCCTCACCCCAATACGTGATACACTTAATGCTGTCGAAACCGCCAAGATTTATCAAGACCGAGTCTGGAGCAGATTTGGACTACCTCGAAAAATCATCAGCGATTGAGGACCACAATTCGTTAACCAATTCACAAAAGACCTTTACCGAATCATTGGAATACAGACGAACCCCTCTACTGCATACCATCCTCAAACAGATGGACAAACCGAACGCATGAATCAAGAGATTGAACAATATCTCTGCTTATTCATAAACCACCGACAGACAGACTGGAAAGAATGGCTCGCCTGCGCAGAATTCTCCTATAACGACAAAATTCAGACCTCTACTGGACACTCCCCCTTCTACGTCAATTATGGATGTCACCCTAACAAAGGAACGGACCTACGAAGAGAAGTCAAAAGCCAGAGCGCTACTGAATTTGCCGAAGAAATGTCAAGAATATGGGAAGAAACTGGAGCCACCTTGCACTTAGCCGCCGAACAAATGAAAATGTACTATGATCGAAAACGAGAGCCCTCTCGAGAATACAAACCTGGCGATAAGGTTCAGCTTGAAGGATATAACATCACTACTGATAGACCTTCAAAGAAACTCAATGACAAGTGATATGGACCTTTCAAGATAATCAAGAAGATTGGCAAAGCTGCTTACAAGCTAGAACTCCCAAAGACTTGGAAGAGTATCTGGCCTGTTATTAACAAAATATTCCTAACCCCCTATGTTGAACCCGCTTATAACTCACAGAAACAACCTCCCCGACCTCCCCCAGAGATCGTAGATGAACACAATGATACGCTAGCAGTGTGTATGACAATGAAATCAATCAAAATCAAAACACTACTAAATAAAGACGTGAACTGAGGGTGCGAGTTGGCAAGAAACCCTTCCTTGAATGAGATAGTTGAGATAAAATGGGTTTGTTTACAATGCGCGCGAATGCGCAATACTGATTGCGATGAGCAAAGCGTGTAATACGTGGAATGTGGGTGCG